TCTAATAGAGAAAGAAGCATGTAGTTTAGGATGTGGGGAAGCACCTATCCTTGGCAAATTGTAAGAGTGGGAAGAAGGGATAAGATCCCTATGAATTTCCAACTTTTTCCAATGCATGTATTTGCAAGTTTTATAAGAAATACTCTGCATTTAGTTATTTTTCTTTTTAGTATATTATGAAACCTGTTGCTATACAATGCAATAAAACCATAATTTGTTACTGAGCTTTAGAAATAATAAAATCCCTGTTTGTATATTGCAGTCAAATTTATTGAATGTCTTTTGTGTATTGTACTAGTATAGTTGCTGTTTTTCAATATATGAATAATTTCATATTTGTCATGGTTCAGTGGTTTTTAGACTGCTAACTGGGATACATGACAAGTTAGAATGATGATCCTTGTATTAACAGCACCTTCTTAGATGAAAGTAACAAGCAAGTACCTCCAATGTTTTTGTAGATGGTGAACTTTTTGAATAGAAAGGGCAAAATGTGAGGTGCTGATAACTTCTTATATTCATACTGCAGGTTCTTGATGCTGTAAAACCATGTTGCCTACCTATATCAGGTACTCAGAGAAGTTGTAACTTTTAGTTATTTTTCTGCTGGCAAATTTCATTTTAGATAACAGTGTTGGTGTTATTATCCAGTCAAGAGAAAACAGAAGTTGACTTCTTAGGAATTCAAGTCAAAACAGCTGTTAATAAAGTTCATGTCTTTAGTAATTACAAGAAAAAGTAATTTTTGAAGTATCAGAGAACTCCCAGTCAGTCTGCTCAGTGTACTTTAAGCAATGAATAAAAATAGTAATAAAATAATTTAAAACAATTCTCTAATTGTTTTCTTAAGGTTACTTTTTTATAAAGACCTAACTGTTTTGTGGATTAAACATGGATAAGGGAGGGATTAAAGAGACTCAAAGATAATTTGAGTTTCTGAAAAGCTGCTGTTGCAAAACCACTTTTCAGTATGAAAATAGTTAGGATTTTTGAGGTTTACATAAAATAAACTATGATTGTCATTAATTCAAATATGATGTAAAAGCATGGGAATTCCTCTTTATTTGTACTGAACTGCTAGTTAATAAGCAAAGTCATATTATAAGCATCCATTAAAAAAATATTGCTTTAAATGAAGTTAATTGCATATGACTAGGATCTCACTTTTTTAAGCATGGTTTCATCTTTCCAGTACTTACTAACCATGAATTTTAGTGAATAAATCTCTTTTGCACTGTAAAATGACTGTATTTAGATGTCGAACTGCTATTATGCAATTTCAGAAATACTCAGAAGACAAACAGATTAATGCAGTTGCACATGAATTTTAAAAGAATGGTCATACGTGTATTTATGTCTTAATGCATATCTATATATTAAATAGACCTCTTAGACATTTTATCCTTCCATGAATCCTAATAAGAACATTCCCATTTAAATAATTCCACTGTTTCTCTTTACATTCAGTTCTTTTGGGAGGCTGTTTATTTTTAAAATCTTAGACTTCAGTCATCCTGGCAGAATATATACTATGAAGTATAATAATTATGCACTAAAAAGTATACTATAATAAAAGACTTAACTTTTTTTTGTCTACAAGCAAAAAAAAGGTCATATGATTTGCAGTACACCCTGCTGATAAAGCAGTTCCTTATAATACAGGATGCTGTTTGAAGAGAATGGGAGGGAAGCTTCTAAGTGCAGTATGGTAAAATTAAAATAATCATTACAAAACATATAGCAACATGGTTAACAGTTACAGGGTAAGCCATGAGAGCTGGAATCCTAGAACAGAGTAAATTTGAAGGGGAAGAAGAATTAGAAAATATAGGCAGTCTTTGGCCTTCTGTCTATTGCATGTAAATGGATTGCTGTCCCTTGTTTCTGCAGGAACACTTTTCCAGTCTGGAGACAAAGAAGAGATAGAGATCCGTGGCTGTTCTATTTGGTGTTGTGCATTGATTTGTAAGCACCTGCAGGAGCTCTATCAGAAGAAGGGTCAGGACATGCATGAAAAGATCAATGCGGTTTTACTGGATTATTATCTTTGGGACTATGCCCGGGATCATAGGGAAGACATGAAAGATATCCCATTCCACCGAGTACGGTGTATATATTACTAAGTCCAGTCTGATAGCTCTTTTATTGTTGCCTTATCTTTTGAACTGCAGATTTGCTTTTCATATGGTGATTTGTCATGCGCTAATCTGGAACTGTTAAATCAAGTGCTTGTTTTCTTGTGATTGATTAACAATGTGCCTTTTTTTCCCCACATTGATTTATTACCTTTTAGTTTAATTTTTTGCTTCCACTGACTGGAATTAATAGTGTAAACCTTGCAGGCAACCTTTGTTAAGGCAGGGTTTGTTACTCCTGCTCTTTGACCTGTGTATTGGTGTACGTGGCTGTCCGTGCGCACAGCCAGATGTACGTGCAGATCCTGTGGTATATCTTGCTCCTTGGCCTCTCCCTGTTCCAGCCTGTACCACCTGCACGGAGGTGGCGGGTGCTTGGCAGATGCTTTACTGCTCAGAGATGGAAGTATAACCCGTCCATTTGTCCAATAAACACTGTGGTGACAGATGTGCCTTGGGGGTGTTTCTGTGTTTTTACTCTTAGGGGTGAGATGGGGGGATCTCAGTCCACACAGGGAGGGAGGTGGAAAGGGAAGAATCATGGAATTGCTTGATCTTGAGATCATCGAGTCCAACCTGTGACCAAACACGACTCTGTCTACTACACCACGGCACTGAGTGCTACCTATGACCCAACATCACTTTGTCACCTAGACCATGGCCGTGAGTGCCATATCCAGTGTTTCCTTAAACACCTCCAGAGACTGTGACGCCACCACCTTCCTGGGCAGCCTGTTCCAATATTTAATCACCCTTTCTGTGAAGCAATTTTTCCTGATGTCCAACCTGAACCATCCCTATCACAGCCTGAGGCTATTTCCTTTTGTCCTGGCACCTGTTGCCTGTGAGAAGAGGCCGAAAGCCATCTTGTTACTCCTTCCTTTCAGGCCACTGTACAGAGCAGTAAGGTTCCCCTGAGCCCGCTCCAGGCTAAACGCCCCCAGTTTCCTCAGCCACTCCTCAGGGCACTTAAGTGCTCCAGACCCTTCCCCAGCTCCGTTGCGCTTCTCCGGCCACGCACCAGCGCCTCACTGCCCTTTCCGGACGGAGGGGCCGAGAAGGCGGGCAGGGCGCGAAGGAGGGCCGGGAGCCCGCCAGCCGCGGCC